TGAAAAATCATGTGACAAATTTATGTGTTTAGTTTCATTACAGTTTGTACGAAGATGTATTTCATGAAGTTTGTGATCGAACTCATATCATGATTCATATTAATTAGCATAGCTATCAAATTGAATTGCCTTTTGTCTTCATCAGTTATATTCATACATAAAAAGAACCTTATATGTATGCAAGCATATATTGATAAAGTCACATGATATAAAAAGAGTATTTGCATTTTGGGTAGCTGAAGAGTCAAGAAGAAATCAAAACGAACGATGAATATATATATGTATTTTTTTTTTTTGAGAAAAATATTATTTATAAATTATACTATTATTTATGTCAAATCTAGACGTTATTTGTAATGCAGCAGTAAGACATTATTAAGAAATTTCTCCAAAATTTAGAAATTTCTCCAAAATAATATTTAGAAATTTCTCCAAAATAATACATATTTGTAATGCAGCAGTAAGACATTATAAACGTTATTATTATTATTTTTTTAACAATTTTACTTCATTCATTTAATCGATCAAAGTACAAACAGAGGGAATTAAACATCCTCGAGCATTAATACAACGTAATTGAAATGCAATAAAATAAATAGCAGATAGATTATCGCAGAAGATGATAGACAGCAGATCCAAAGCATGCCTCAGATGCGTCAAGAGGGTCTTTGCGGCAAAGCCGGAGATTCTCAAGTTAGTCACTTTATCATGTGACTTTAAAATTTCCGGCATAAAGCACGGGAGTTCGACCACTCTCCATGAGAAGGAAGAAAATACGACATGTCTCAAAGAGAAGGGCGAAGGTGGAGTTAAACTCGTCCGCCAAAAGTAAATTACATGGTTTGAGAACCTAGAAAACTTTTTTCTTCTCAAAGGAGAGAACCTAATAAGCTCCACAACAAGTATGATTTTTCCAAATCTGATTTTTTAAACTAATGGGCCTACACATTGATTAAATATAACATAATTTCTAATGGGCTTTAATAAGAAACAGCTGGGCTTTGAAATACCCATAATCTTTTCATAGAAGCCCACCTTTACACCAAGCCCACGAAGGGAGACACATTGAGGTTGGCTACTATTGTTACCCTTTTCCGATGAGCAGAGCCATGGAGGTTCGGCGGCCTTAGCCACGCCCGGATTCAATCTTCGATTAAGCAAGGTGGTCGGATTAAATATGGTTTCAACCTTGGCCACGAGACATATCTCGGCCGAGGAGGAGATGAAGGAAATCGGAGTCGGATGTGACTTACAAAGATCAAAATTTTATAAAACTTTTTCTCTCAACACCAAACCTCTAACACCAAAAAAATTCTTATATAACCCTCTAACCTTTAATGAAATGGTAAATTACTAAAATACCCTAAACTAATAATT